GGAATTATCACTTGCCAACCCTATGTTTATGAAATTATCTAAAATCTCAAAAAGGATCAACTACACAAAGAATACATGTATTAGAGGCCAAGCATCACCTAAGTGCTTTCCCTTTAGGTCATTTCCAGGTAGTGAAAAACTTAACTACCAACCTGACTTCACCTCTAGGTCTGCTGTAATAAAAATATTATCACTGGTAAGAGTAGCAATGAACACCCTGTTCCTATCTCTCTGCCTCTTTAGGAATACCAAATACAAAATTATCTGGGTCATAGCCATAATAAGGACTATCTCTACTCTATCTGAACAAGCATTAATTAAGTGCCTACTATGTAACACGTGTTAATCTCTGGAGATACAAAGGGAGGCCACAGTCCCTGATCAAAAAGAGCTTGAATTCTAATGGGGGAAACAATGTGCAAACAAGGATGTACAAATTCTATGCAAGAAAAATTGATGGTAATCTCAGAGTGATGGCACTAGCAATAAAGGAAACCAGGGAAGGCTTATTTTTTTTTCTTTTGGTTAGGCAATTGGGGTTAAGTGACTTGCCCAGGGTCACACAGCTAGTAAGTGTCAAGTGTTTGGTCTGAGGTCTTATTTGAACTCAGGTCCTCCTGACTTTAGGGCTGGTGCTCCACTTAGCTGCCCCCAGGGAAGGCTTATTGCAAAAGATGAGACTGTAGTAAGGCTTGTAGGAAGCCAAAAGGTAGAGACAAGGAGGGAGAGAATGCTGGGCATGGGTGGGATAGCCAATGAAAATGCAGATTTGTGAGGTGGAATTTGAGGAATAAGAAGACCCATGTCACTGGATCTTGAGTTAAATGGAGGAGAATAAGGTGTAATAAGAATGGAAAAGTTGTAAGGGGCCAGATAATGAAGGGCTTTAAAAGCCACAGGATTTTTCGTTTGATCTTAGAGATAACAGGGAGCCACTGGAATTTATGGGATAGAGGGACGGCATGGTCAGACCGGCAGTTTAAAAAGATCACTTTGAGGTAAATGAGAAATGCTTGAGGGGATATGGGAAATTAATGCATTGTTGGTGGAGCTGTCAACTGATTCAACCATTCTGTAAAGCAATTTTGAACTATGTCCAAAGGACTAAAACACCATGCGTTTCCTTTGACCTAGCAATATCACTACTAGGTCTGTATCCCAAGGGATAAAAAACAAAAAGGAAAAGGACCTATATATACAAAAATGTTTATAGCAGCTCTTTTCTGGGGGCAAAGAATTAGAGATTGAGGGGGTGCCCATCAATTAGGGAATGGCTGAACAAGTTGTGGTATGTGATTATGATGGAATACTATTGTACTATAAGGAATGATGAGCAGGATGCTCTCAGAAATATCTGGAAAGACTTGCATAGGCTGAATCAAAGTGAAATGTACTGTGTACAAAGTAACAGCAATATTTGTAAGATGATCAGCTGTAGTTGACTTAGCTATTCTGAGCAATGCAACAATCCAAGACAACTCTGAAGAACTTAGGATAAAAAATGCTATCCATCCCTAGAGAAAGAATTGATGGGGTCTGAATACAGATCGAAGCATACTTTTTCTTGTTTTGGTCTATATTTTCTTTCACAACATGACTTATGTATATGTTTTGCATGACTACACATGTATAACCTAGATCAAATTGCTTGCCTTCTCAATGGGGGAGGAGGGTGATGGAGGAAGGGAGGGTATTTGGAATTCAAAGTTTTAAAAACAAATGTTAAAAACTGTTTTTGCATGTAATTGGAGAAAAATAAAATACTAAAAAACAATTTAAAATTAAAAAAAGATCACTTTGACAGCTCAGTGGGGAGAGACTTGAGGCAGGAAGACCTAGTCCAGATAAAGGCTTGTAACAGGGTGGTGGCAGTGTCAAAAGAAAGGAGGTATATTGAGAGATATACTGATAGAACATGGCAACAGATTGGATAGGGGTGGGAAGTGTATAAAGCCTAGGTAACTGGGAGGATGATGGCATCCTCTATAGTAACAGAAGTTTGGAAGAGGAGAGGCTTTGGGGAAAAGTAAAGGAGTTCAGTAATGGATATAATTCAGATGTCCACGAGGTCCATTTTACAGTTGGGGAAACTGAGGCAAAGAAAGATTAAGTCACCTGCCCAGGGTCACACTGCTAGTAAGGCTCCATAACTGAATTTGAATTCAGATCTTCCTGACTCCAGACTCAGTGCTCAATCCATTGCATTACCTAGCTGCCATTTTTCCTGTACTTAGTCCCAACAGTAAAATTCTCTCATTGATCTAAGCCAGAAATGAAATAGTTCAAAAGAAAAACATTTTCCTCAGAAAAATGTTAGGGTTGAATTCCTGAACATCTATTTTAGCTTCCTGTTACAGTAGCCTAAGTTCATGTATCAGACTATGATTTCTATAACGGTTATGTACCTAACAACTTTATTAACACGTTGTATGTGCAACCATGACTAAACTCAACTCAGGTGAGGAAATTGCTCTTTTCTGAGATGTGTGAAAAAGATGCTATTCATACAATTGAGAGATATACCCTTGAAAAACTGCCTTGATCTTTTTAAGTCCTTCCTTTTTTGACAGATGAGTGATGTATACCTCAGGAAAGATGAGTTTTTATGAAATTTAGTGCTTGAAGGGACCTCTAAACTTAATTTATAGAGTAGGAAAATGAAGCCCAAAACGACACGGACATTATATAACAGAAGCCCAGAGATATGACTGGCCTTAGGACTTTATCTGTCTTGCAAGAATGAAATCAGAAAAAAAATTTTTCCATGTCTTACCTATTGCTGATGTGAGACCCTTAAGCTAACCTCTGAACTCAAATATCAATGACAGCACACCAACTTGCAAGGACTTCACATTTTTCTTGTACACATAAAAGTGTTATTTTGCTTAGACAAATTTCTTGAAGATTTCTTGAAGCCCTAATTTATTGCTATGAAGTTTAACATCTGTTTATGCCATTGTTTGTGTGATGAGTAATTAAAAGTTGTTACATTTAAATTAACAGGATATAGAGCTTTTATCCACTTGTGATCATTACTGGTTTCAATTTAGGTATAGGATAATCTTAGGGACCCTACTGAAATAAATGCTAATGTGTTCAGAAAACTCATTGTAATGAAATCAGCCTTCCAATTCAGACTGCCAGCAATGCTGCCCAAGAAAGAAATGCAGAAAAGTAGTCTTGATAGTTTGTCTTTCCCTTTCCTTTACTCCATATGCTGCAGTTAAGTCTAATAAGCTTCATTTTAATGTACCAAATGTAAATGGCTATACATATTGGTGAGGAAATATATAAAAGTCTCACCTTTTTTTAATACACAACAGTTAGACCTCAAAAGCTACCATCAACTCTGATCCATTATTTTAAATGGGAAAAACTACAAAGAAGTTTTTTTAAAAATCAAGTGAGAATGAAGGTTCACTAGGAAGTGCATATAGTAGGGACCCCAAGTTTCTTTCTCTACAGCGCATACTGGCACCAAAGGAGCAAGCGCATCCTCTTTTCCCTCTAAATATTTTAGGAAGAAGCGCCCATCAATTTGAACCTAACCCAACAGATCCAGGGGGTGGTTACAGTGAGACTGAGACAACTGAAAAACAGATTAGGATGTTCTTCCAAGCCTCTAACCCTTGACTTAGGAAATAAAAGTACAGGAAAGTAAACAAGTAGTGACAAGTCATTCTGAACTACCACAGAACTGAAAGAGGTTGGCTCCCCTGATCCCTTGGAAGCTCTCTCATGGGTGAAGTCTGGAGCAGAACCAGTATGATAAAAGGCTTCAGAAATAGAGGGGTGCAGTTTTTTGAGCTGTTACATAGGCTGCCAGGAATTGTGGAATAGATGTACTAGTCCTCTGAGAAAGGGAACAGAAACCACCACCCAGGAGCAGAAGAAAAGTACAATTGGCCTGGGCCGGAGGCTGAACAATACAAAGTGGGACAGGACCTACAATGGACATCAGGGATCCAGGACATCTGCTGTGAGGGAAGAACTTTAGGAGGTGTGGGCTACAGGAAAAGAAACCCTGCACAGACTTTCAGAAAAGAGAAAGAGGAACTTCAACTGCCAAGAAGCCCCTGGCTAGATAGAATATTCTGAAGGGCACCTAAGTAACAGACCACGCAGGTCTTTAATGGAAGAGCTGCCCAAGGGCATTACTATTTTCTAAGGTCTTTGTGATGTGTGTTTTATTTGTTTCTCTTAACTTATAAAGTTGTTAATATTTTGGGTCTTGTGAATCTGTGTATTTCTAAAGGAAGCTGTGGGGAGGAAGGGTGTTCAACATTCAAGTTCCCAGATTACTAATTATCTAATGAGAGCAATAAGCTAGAAGTGAGAGGTTCTTCAAAGTATACCCAAGGTCCTTTATGTCAGAAGGCAGTCTCTGTTATAAGGGTTTTACACAATATGAAAGTTTGTAAAGGACTCAGTCAATCCTTCAGGAGTCCAAAATATAAATTGACACCTCAAATAAAGAAAATGAAATTTCAAAATATAGCTTGTTCATGCAACTTAATTCTTACTTGGCAGTAGGTAGGTGAATCTAAAGTAGTTTTATTTTAAATAGTGCACTATGGAAAACCAAGAAACAAATGTTTTAAAAAATATTATCTAGTAATTATAAAAATCTTGTGAAAAAGCCAAGGATAATTTTGCTTTCAAGGAAAAACAAACATTTAAGTATCCAAACACTATGCCTGTAGACTCCTTTTCCTTCAAACATAAAGCTTAGAACTATTATCCCATGGGGTGGGTTTCTACTAATATACTACACTTTAAAGTATTTCCTGTTATCCAACCTTCAAAAATGAAAAACAAAACAAAAAAACACTAGAGACTGAATTACAAATAGTAATACCAGTAATTGGACTAAGTCCAAATGGGCAATAAAAACACCTACATACTACATCATCAAATAAGTGCACTGGCAAGAAAGTCACTGGTATGACACAGGCTTTTAAAAACAACAAAATGACTTTTGAAAATAAACCACCATATAGTTTTCCAAGAACCTTTATACATCTGTTTAATTAGATTAGCTTTACAAGCAACTTGCGAGCTCTTTCATAATGAAACACTGCTTTTCAAATTACATGACTCTATAGGCAATTTGTGAGTCCTGAATTCTTTGCCTATTATAAAGGTCTGTGTTTTACAGCTGGTTAATGTCATGAATAAAAATAGCATTATGAAGTTTATCTTTAACCAGGATTAAACACAAACAAGTCATGAAAATTTTTTTAAAAGTGCTACCTGGTTAACAAGTTAACTGTCCCACTACTATGAAATTCTGAGAAGACAGTGAAAATATGGTTGCCCTGAATTGCTGATGTTTTCCTAATGATTTATAAATATGATGAAGCAGACTTAAAAAAAAAATTACACCATTGAGTTAAATCTGTCTGGTAAGCACTACACAGAGATGAGAATTTGGTACTTTGCATACCTGCAGAAGTATACGTTTGAATTACAAAGGGGCTCACAAATTGAAGGCCTTTTCTGTACACATATCTAAAAATAAAATTCAAACATACCTCCCACCAAAATAATATAACTTCTGGTAAACCTAGAAAAAAAAAAGTAGCGCTTTTTAATTGTGGCTTAATGCAATGCACTGCACTGCAGACCAGACCAGAAGATGGCAAAAACAACTTGCACTCCTGGATCAGGCTGGCAGAGGCACTTACAGAGGAAGTGTTGGGTCAAATTTATGGAAAGAAGGGAGAGAAGAGGAACAAAATGGAACACATTTAGTAAAAACAACAATAATTCTGAGTAGAAGCTAGAGAATTCTTTCTGCAAGTTCTCCTAAGTGAGATCACAATACTGAATGTTTACCCCCACCCCATTCCCCACTGTCAGTTTCACTAAACAATTAATTTTTTTCATGTTTTACATGAACAATAGCAATCTTTTAATAAAAATTACTGAGCTTTCCATAGAAAAGGTTTCTAATTGAATACAAACTATACAGATGCTAAAATTGTCATAAATTGAAATATATACAGAAATATTTCTGTACACTCACATTGTTTTGGCAAAGGAAATCAAGGACAGAGATAGAAAAATTAAGTGGGCAGGTGAGTACCCATAATTTATGAGAGTGGATACGGCCCTATGGACTTTGCTAATGAGCACAGGAAAACATTTAAGTCCAAGACACCTGTTCCAATTCATTCTTTAAACAACAGAAGTTTAGGGAGGTCTTGTGTGATTTAGTAACATTCCCTCTCTTTCTGAAAAGTAAAAAAGAACACCAAAACATAAAAACCAAAGCATTTCAACTTTCTTACTAAATGTACACCTTTTCAGTACTGATCAAAGGCCAGTGTTATGTTTGGGGAATGCTTTAACAGAACAAGAATCCGAAAATTCATTGCACATTAAGCCTGTAATGATGCATTTCAGTCTCAATGTATACATAATTTGCCCTTGATACTATATAATAGAATCAAGGTCCTACTGATCTGCAGATCAGATGGGGCATTTAATAGGAAGAAAACATGGATAAATTTAAAAGTTTTAGGAATGGAGACATCTCTTTTTAAACATATAGAAAATTTCAGGGTAGATCTGAAAGCCTAAGAAAGCCCTTTTTTGTCTTAGGAACTTGATGCTATGTCCCCAAAGCCAAGGATAACCTGGATATAGCCTCAAGCTCAGTGCCAGTCACTTTATTATTACTATTATTTTTTAAATTTAACTTAAAAGATAAAGCCCTTCCCACTCTGGATTTAACTTGTAAAACATGAACTAAAATAAAATAACTGATAGTAGAATAGTGATTTTTTTCCTGTTAAATTTAATTAAGGACAAAGTAAAAAAATACAGTAGCAATCTTTAAGAGTTCAAATTAGTTTAAGATATGACTACAAAAGAATCCGATTTTTAGCTGGTAATTAAAGTGCTCCTTTTCTGACTTTAAATGTAAAGAAAATTAAAGTGATCTTCAGTTACTGGCGACTATCATTAAATTAGGTCTTTTAGGGCAAAGGATAACAATATGAAGAGGTTTACAAAAATAGATTGATGCTATTTTGGAGAATAATACTGTAATTTTTACTCAATTCACTTTGATAAAGTGTACCTGGTCATACAAAAATTACCCCAAATTCAAATTTGACTATATAAAAAAGGGAGAGATGAATTGGATTCAACTGGATGATAGGTCTGACAAAATATAATAATGAAAAAATTCTATGTAGGGCACTTATTTTATGTCCAGATGTATATGTCATTTTTAATTGCTTATAGTCTTCAAATAAGCAGTCACAGGTTTGGAGTCAGTCACACAGTACAATGCCACAGCAGTCAAAATCTTCTTTTTGATGCAACACAAAAATGTTGTTTTGGTTTCCATATTAAAATGCTGATTTGTTGTTTATTTTCCTTTATCCCATTTATTCAAATTCACAAGTTAATAAACAGCATCAATGTAGGTGTGTTGCTGGATCAAAGACTCTATAAAACGTCTTTCCCAATTGAATCAGAAGGTTTATTAAGTTCAACCCTCACACCTTTTTCACCTGCAGGAAGAAAAAGAAAGTATTTCAGTTAAAAAAAAAAAAAAGCAACCACACATTATAACTGGCTCCAGGCAATTACTTCTCTGCATTTAATTCCTTTGTCACATGATAGCAAAACCCTAACTTCGTAATCATTAACTGAAAACCATTATTCCTTCTCCAGAATGTTACCTCCAGCACAATCAAATTCAGTAATTACAGTGCTGGACTTCCTTAATTAATGAACCTTTAAGATTCTTGTAGGTGTCAAAAGCCCTGGATTTGGAATCAGATGCCCTAGGTGCAAATCACAGTTCTGTCACCCACTCTGTGTGACGTTGAGTAAGTAACTTCTGTTGGACTCAGCTTCTTCATATAATGAGTGAGAGGGGATGGATTGACTAAATGACTTCCAAGTTCCCTTCTAACTCTATGACTCTCTGAAGAGAAAAGCAGTCTATTTACTGACTCTAACTTCTGCCTTTTTTGAATGAATGCAAGCTAGTAAAGTGTCCTCCACAGCAAAATTTCTGCAACTAATGACTTAAGGAAAATATAAAAGGGGCAGGAAGATCAGAATCGCCAAATATTGATTAGTATGAAAATCATCAGGAGGTTTATGCTAGGATGCAGTTTCTGAAATTAGAATGGAGTGTTCCACTAAAACATACACAAGCAGGCAAAGAGGCAATGAGTGAAATCACTGATATAAGAGAAACAATCCAGAACTTGGGACTGGGCTGAAAGAATCTATCTTCATAACATAAGCATAACTGTATTTACTCAAAATTGATTTTTGTGTACATTTAATAAACACAAAATCTAAAGGTTAAATTGAAATGCTGAAAGCAAGAACAGGACTATTCTGATTAGCCAAAGACCTCACTGCTATAGACACGAGCATTCCACTTTCAAATAAAAGAATGTAAAACTTCAGGAGAATAAAGAATATTTTTCTCTGGTCTCAGTTCAACCTATTTTTGGAAATCACTGAGAAGAAGAGTAATGATAAGTTTTTAATACAAACCCAATGTGATTATTACCTGTTAGATATTTTACTTTAGCTCGTGCCCTCTCATCTGCATCAAAATACCACACTGTAATTGCGTACCTAGAAGAAAATTTAAAACAAAGAAAAAATGTGAGGATCAAATGAGATAATGGATATGAAAGCACAGTGAAACTATGTAGTAATATGCAAATGTAAGGCTGGGGACAGGCAGTGGGCGAGTGCCACCTTAACAATCTTATATTTAATTTTTTTTTTTTTTTGGCGAGGCAATTGGGGTTAAATGACTTGCCCAGGGTCACAAAGCTAGTAAGTGTCAAGAGTCTGGTCTGAGACCACATTTGAACTCAGGTCCTCCTGACTCCAGGGCCAGCACTCTATTCACTATGCCACCTAAAATATAATTCTACTATAACTATCTTAGTATTTTATCTAAGAATAAATTATTAGCACAATAAATACTCAATTATACAGCAACTTGATTCATTCTCGAACATAGCTGAGAACTAGAATATAAGCAAAAAAGCCCTCTGAACTGCCAAAATAAATGTCATTAAATCCATGTTATTAATGCTCACGTTTTACCTATGGGAGAACCCCTATGGGCCTCATTTATTGGATGTATACTTTTAATAAACTTAGTCATCTGATATAAACATTAATTATTAAGTGATTAAAAGCAACAAATTACCAAAGGGAGGTGGGGAAGACTGGTGGTTAGAGAACTGACATGGAGGCAGCTAGGTGGTAAAGCTGATAGAGAACAGTCAGGAGGACTCAAGTTCAAATCTGGCCTCAGACATTTGACACTAGGTGTGTGACCCTGGACAAGTCACTTAACCCCATTGCCTAACCAAAAAAAAAAAAAAAAAAAAGAACTGACACTGATATTATTAAATGACCTCTATGAGGAAGATGACAGAAACACAATAAAAAACAGGCCCCAAGAACTCAAAAAGCACACAGAGTGAGACTACTTAACATAATGAAAACTGTTGCTGTACCTTGACAACTCCTAAGGCCATCACTATATTAAAACATAGTACAACAATGGGTGATGGTCCCAAGTAATCAAATAAGGTTTAAATTATGCTAAACAATAAAAGATTTTCAACAAAAATAATTCAAATAAAGTTTTGCCTAGGAGTGAACTTGAATATCGTTTGTAGATCAGCTTTTTTTCCAACAATGTAGGATAAACTGAAAGTCACTATATCCAGGAAATATTGCAAAAGAAGGTATACAATTTAGAAATGAAAAGTAACAGACTGGAAAAAGAAATACAAAATCAGAACAGAAGAACAGGGACTAGTTAGTTTTGTATCCCCAGCTCAAAGCACAACGCCTGTAGATACTAGGCATTTAATAAATGTTGAATTCAATTTTTTTATTTAAAATTAAGGAGATTATCCTGTAGATTAGAACCACTGGTCATGGGTAGCACGGAATAATAATTGAGAGAACTGGCACTAATAAATGCTATAAAACTAGCCCATGTAAACATTTACGAAGTACCTACTACATAGAAAACATTATGCTAGTTAATGGTAAAGATATGAAACTGAGATAAGATACGGTCCATACTCTCATGAAACTTAAACAATAGAGAGGTATGACACATGTATAAATAATAATACAAAATAATATATTATAACTAATAAATTATATGAAAAATTAAAAAAATAAAATGTGTGAAAGATGCAGAAGGAAAGTGATGGGAAAGGGGAAGACTTCAAAAAGAGATGATGTTTCATCTGGGCTCTAAAGCAGTGGTGTCAAACTGAAAAATAGAAAAGTGGGAAACTAAATAGTACACAGGATCCTTGCGGGCACATACTGGCTTAGAAAACCACATACTAACATTAAGTATTTTTTAAATTACATTTTCCAATTACATTTTAATCTGATTTAGGTACATGCAAGTTTGACACTTCTACTCTAAAGGATGGGTAGAGGAATTTAAAAGGAATGGGGGGGGCAGGTGAATCATAACATAAAGAACCATGTCAACAAAGGGGCAGAGGTAAGAAAGCATGGGGCATATATAAGGGATAAGGAATCTAGTTTGGGTAAAATAAAAAGTACAGAGGAAAGAGCATGAGACAATACTGAAATGGTAGACAGACTGTGTAGGCTTTAAACTTTGGAGAAGTCAAATTTAGGATACAATAAAAATTACTAAGCTGGAAGAGAATTCATTATCCAATTCAACCATTTCACTTAACTAGTGCAGAAACATGTCCTGAGACATCAGGTGACTCGTCCAACAACACACAGTGAGTTAACACCACGGCTAGGACCAGGACCTAGGACTCTGGGACCTTAGTACTTCAATGTCCTTCCTTCCACTATACCACTGTCATTCTTAGTGTTGATTTTTCTGTTCTATAGGCTGACTCTGGTAACGTATGGGGAAGCTACAGGATCCTAAAAAGTCATTTATTCCCACCTCCTCATTTTATAGATGATGAAACTAGTTCGACTGTGACATGTCACCTTCCTTGCTGGGAGTTCCCTATACCAATGGAATTAGAAGTTTATAGTAAATGTCAGAGGAAGGATTTGAACCCAGGTCAAAAGACACCAGAACCAGGGCTCTTTTCCCTCTACCACACCCTGACCTTCTACTCAAAACTATTAATCTCCCTTTACTGTTCAATTTCCTTTAACTGCCTTATAAAAATCTTGGCTAACCAAACACCAAAATGGTCTACTGGCACAATGGAAAAGATCTCTGGATTTGGATGTATTCAAAATGTGTCTCTGCCATGTAATACCTGTGTGACCTTGGATACTTATCTGATACTTAACCTCTCTAAGCCTCAATGATTTCATCTGTGAAATGGGGAGATTATACTGGCTAACCTCTAAGGCCTCTTCCAGCTAAACCTCTGATCCTTTTCTCTGTCCAAAGTTGCAACTGGAACCCAACCTCTTTTGTGGAGGCTTTTCTGACCAGCCCAGCTGGAAGTGGCATCTCTCAGGAGCAAGACTAGATAACCTCTTTTAGCTCTATGTAATTACAACATTTATCCTTATGACTCATTTAATGATCATCCACCACCTTATATTTTTAGTTACCTTTTAACATGTGAATATATTATCTCTTCAAAGAGGCTGCAACAGACTGATACTTCCCAACACCAGTGTTTTCCAAAGTCTTTTCCTGACCCCCATGACACATGGTGTTTAGCCCTCCACCCACTGCAAAGTTTAGTATTAAAGAGACCAAGTATTTGGTACAGAACAAGGGCTATATAGCTGGGATGAAAGCAAGTAGAAGAAAGGTAGAAAACTCTCACTGAATCTCTAAGTCCTCATCAGTGGCAAGTGCTAAGACCTGAGGGTGAAGCCTTGTGCTGTACTACTATCACTACTGTATAACATTTCCATTATTTCTATTGCAGCTCGTACTTTGATCTTATTGTATCTTCTAAGTTGCACAAAAAAGCGAAAAAAATTAAAGTCTGGGGTGTTAGAAGACTCATAACTTACTACGGCTACCTTTAATTCTAAGTTGGCTAAACCAAATATTTCCTTAGCATAGTTACTCTCATTAAAATAATTTTCCCATAACAAGGCCATTTTTTCATAAATTAATTTTTGATGCCAATATCTTATCTTTGTTTAAAGTATGACATAGATACTTATGGTATAATACTAAAAGTCAGACATGAACTTCAGGCTTGGGTCTGCCACTTACTAGCCCGTGTGGTCAAATTGTTTCACTTTTCAGGCCTCAGTTTCTTCATCTATAAAATAAAAGAGTTGGACTAAAAGATCCTGAAGATCCTCTGTTGCTCTAATATTCTAATTATTCGTTGGGACTAAAAGGTAGTTAACATTCCACACCTCTCTTCTCTGAGTAGGAGCTTAATAAATGCTAGTTTTTAATAAATGCTAGTTGACATGAACTGTGCACAGGCTGCTGCTCTCCATGCCTGACATGAGAATGCCACATGAAGGAACTCGAGAATTCTCCCAAAGCTCCATTCAAGTACCTCCTATGGGAGGTCATCCTCATTCCTCCAGCTGCCAGTTCCTCCGCCCCTCTTCCTCAAATCACTTTGCATTAGTTTTTTTGTACATAATGTATTGTACTTAAGTATGTACATGTTATTTCCCCTTATGGAATAAAATGCCTTTAAGGCTGGAACTGTTTAATTTCTGTATTTACATTGGTGGCATCTTGCATGATAACAAAGCACATTGCGTGCAGGAGGTGGCTGACTGATGAGTACTACCGCAGGAAAAGGAGAAGAGAAAAGCTTTCTGGAAAAGAGGAACAGTATGCAGCTAATACCCAGAGCTCTCAATCTTATTTTAAAAATCATTCCCATTATTTTTATGATCTCTTCCTCACCCCCTCACCTGCCATCACTCTTCTCCATCTTAATCTTTTCTTTTCCCTCCTTTTATTTCAAGCCTCATCTATTTTCCAGTTTCCACCATTCCTTATCTTCTTATTTTTAACTCCACTTCTTCTTCCTTACTCCACTCTTTCACCCAAGCAGAAAGGATCCACCAGCCGGTGGATGAAATACAAGGAGACTTGGGGACCTGCCACAAACTTAAGGAAACCATATGGCAAGAGAGATGCAGGAAAGGAGAGCCTGCAACCTCCATTTCTTTTTTACCTAATCATATTATTTTCTTTAATGAACCAATGAATAGATGTGCAGAGACATATATGCAGTGAAAGAGGATACTGAAAACAAAATTGACTGGCAAAATTTGCATGAAAGTAATAAGATGTACATAAAGTTGACTAACAGTTAAAAATCTTTATGAGGGCTTAAGATTCACAAAGTGCTCCTTTCTTTTCCCCCAAAGGAAGTTTTATAAAACCTGTGCCAAGTTTTTCTCAAAAGGAATACTACCTTGTAGCAAATGCTGGTTGCACTTCATGAGGGTTGCGTCGGTCAGACCAGAAAAAGAGCAGTCTATCGAATTTGGGTTCAATGTCAGCAAACTGGGCTTTGCCTTCTGGAAAAATTCGAAGAATACCTCCACTTACCTAGAAAAAAATTATTCAATATAATTAAAGTCAGTCAACATCACCAGTGATTGTTTTAGAAAATTTTACAGGTTGTATGTCCTCTGCTCACCATAAAAGTAGCCCAAGCTGGCTATAAGGGTGCCTGACACTTTTCCAAACAAGATACAAGAAGAGTGTTCTTTCAATACGAATCATTCAAGGATTAACTTCTATTTGCTGAGCTCTCAAACTTCTCTTTCTGGAAAATCACTCTATCTTTTATACATTCCACAAGACTTACTTTCAATTCAGTAAGCATTTAATTAAGTCACTCCTCTTTGCAGATCACTTGTATGTGTGCCATTTCCATGATGCTGAATTCTGAAATATGTCTCAAATCACCACGTCCTCTTCCATCTCTCCCTCTAACTCACTCCACTTAAATCCTATAGTCCATTCATGTTCTCCAAGTCTATCACTCCCTATTCTGCCCTCACTTTCCTACATTCATAGCCTTGATCCCATGTTTAATTAGTTCATTTCATGCCACTCACCAAGTCCCTACTACGTGGAAAAGGCTTTGGCTCTGGAGTCAGAGTCAAGTCAATGAGCACTTATTAAGCACTTACTTGTGGCAAGTAATGCACTAAGTACTCAGGGTACAAAGAAAGGCAAAAACAGTCCCTGCCATCCAGGAGCTCACAGCCTAATGGGAAAGAGAACATGCAAACAACCATGTACATACAAAATATATACTGGGTAAATCAAAGAACCTAGTTTCAAATCCCATCTCTGAAGCTTACTATTTGTGCAACAAATCATTTAATTTCTTTGGGACTTAGTTTCCTCAACTGTATAATTAGGTAGGACTAGATGGCCGCAGAGGTCTTCACTGAGCTGGAAGAGTCCAGCTCAATATCCTACTATCCTATTGTGTTGGGCACTTATCCAACCATACTCTGGTCCCATATATCATTCAATCTCTTGCCTTTTTGAACCTTAGGTCACTCCCACTATTTGCCTTCTACATTATGCTGCCTTGAAGCTTAACACTAGTGGAGAAAAATCACACAATCATGCCAACCAGTCTTCCACTGTGATCTCCACCTCCTCCATTCCACACTCTAAAAGAGCTCTACATCTTCATCAGTATTCTGCCTCGCTATAGTCTAAAGATGCGACGGCTTTCCTCCTTGAGCCCATCCCTTCTCATCTCCTTCATGAGTTTGCCCCCTTTGATCATTCCCTTCTTCTCCTTCCTTTTCAATCTCTTCCTGTATACAGGGTCCTTCTCCACTGGTTACAAATAAACTCAGGTTTCTCTGGAAACAAACAAAAAAAGCCACTCAACCTTGCCAATCCTTCAAGTTATTATTTTTACTCTTCTCCCTTTCCCAAATTCTTAGCTTTTACACTGGTTCCATTTGTCTCACTTTTTCAATTCCTTGTACTCATCATTTCCAGCCCCTCATCTCTCAGAAACTAAGGCAAACGGTGAAGTAACTTGCCCAGCGTCACACAGCTAGTGTCTGAGGCCACATCTGAACTCGGGAATCTGCCTGACTCCAGGCCGAGCACTCTGTCCACTGTGACAACTCACTGCCCATTCTCTCCCCGGTTACCAATAATCTCTTTTAATTGATAAATCTATAACCTGCACTCAGGTTTCATTTTCCTAGATCTCTTTGTATTTTCTGAAGCTGTCAGCAACCACTTCTTCCCCATTTTTCTGGTCTTCCACTTCCACAGAGCTACCCTTTCCTTCTCTGGCTTGCATACCACGGCAATCTCTTGATTCTCCTTCCTGTCTGATTACTTGTTCTCAGAGTCCTTTGATCATCATCTAAGCATGAGTATTTCCAAAGGTTCAGTGCTGCGCTCCTCTTCTTTCTCTACATTCTTTCCCATGATGATCTCATCCATCCCCAAGGGTGTGAGTATCATCTCTAAACCTTCTATACATCAAACTGTAATTTCTCTCCTCTAAATTTCACTGTCACATCTCTGACTGATAGACACCTTTACGTGACTGTCTCAACACCTCAATGTACCCAATACAGAACTCAACTTCCTTCAAAATAGCATCCTTCTTTCAAACTTCCTGGTTTCTGTTGATGGCACCAGAATATATTACTGATATTCTCCCAGTCACCCAGGTTCATAACCTTAACATTCCCTCTTCCTCACCAACTAGATACCAAATCCTGTAGGTTGTTTTTCTGCAACATCTCTCTCATACATACCCTCTTTTCACTCATATGGCCACTACCCTAGTTTAACTCCTCATTTCTTGGCTAGACTATTTTAATACTCTCCTAACTGGCTTTCTCTGCCTCCTGAAATATACCCAGGTTTACTGGAGTACACTGGAATAAAATATACTCCAATCTCTCCCCATCTCCAATCCATTCTCCATACAACTGCCATAATAATTTGCCTAAGGCCACAGATTAGGCCATACTATTCCCATGCTCAGAAATTTTCCCTTAACAGTCAAATAAAAACGGTCCTACTCTGTTTTCTATTAATTATAATGAGATAATGCAATTTGATCATTTAGAACAAATAAAACAAGCCAGTAAGCCAGAATCTTCAAAGTTTTAGATAAATTCCTGGCAATTTATTTTATCCTTTAGACTCAGGGGAATGAACTTATTTCCCAAACTCAGAAGATCATTCTGAAAATATTTATGGAAGGCATATTAAAAGATAACACAAAACATCAAAATTCTTTCAGCAATGAAATGACCTTTTTTTTAACCATATACGAATAATAACATTTAGCAAAAAATTTCTTCAACTAGTTTTCTATACAAAAATTTCTAGACTATCATGACTATACCATACCATAAGTTTAAAATACCTATAATAGGATTAATTTTCTGCACATAAAAAAAGGACACTGATAGTCTATACTGTATGTGTATGCATATATATGTATATGTATACATACACACACATTTGAAGTAGCTAAAGGGCACAGTGGATAAAATGCTGGGCCTAGAGTCAGGTAGACCCAAATTCAAATCCAGCATCAGACACTAACTAGCTATGTGTTCCTAGACATGTCACTTAACCTGTGCCTGTCTCAGTTTTCTCAACCATAAAATGGGGATGATAATAATAGCACCTACCTGACAGAGTTGTTGGATAACACCTGGCACAGTGCCTAGCACATAGCAGATGCTTAATAAATGCTTGTTTCCTTTCTTCCTTCCTATATTGGCAGATAAGTTTTCTTTTTTTAAAAAAAGGTGACAAAAATTGCTGGGAAAACTGGAAAGCAGTTTGGTAGAAACAAGGCATAGGTCAACATCTCACATCATATGCCAGCTATGGTCAAAATGGAAAAAATTATTGAGACATAAAGGATGATGTCATAAGTAAATTAGGGGAGCATGGAAAAATGTACCTGTCAGATCTCTGGATAAGGAAAAAGTTTACAACTAAACAAAGGACAGAAGGGATTACAGGAAGTAAATTAGATAATTTTGATTACACGAAATTAAAAAGCTTTTGCTCAAACAAAACTAATATAGCCAAAATTAGAAGGAAAAAAACAGGAAACTGAGGGGAAAATTTTATAGCAAGTTTCTCTGATAAAAGCATCATTTCTCAAATATATAAGGAACTGGGCCAAATTTGTAAAAATAAGAGTCATTCCTTGGTTGATAGTCAAAGGATATGAACAGACAGTTGTCAGAAGAAGAAATCAAAGCTATCCATAGTCATATGAAAAAATGCTAAATCACTGATTAAAACAATTTTGAGACACTATCTCACAACTATCAGATTAGCTAACATGACAAAAAAGGAAAATGATACCTGGTGAGAAGGGATGTGGGAAAACTGGGACACTGATGTACTGTTGGTAAAATTGTGAACTAGTCTGACTGTTCTAGAGAACAATTTGGAACTATGCCCAAAGAACTGTAAAACTGTATATACCCTTTGAACTCACAATACCACTTATCCCAAAAAGATCAAAGAAAAAGGAAAAGGATCTATTTGTACAAAAATATTTATAGCAGCCATTTTGTGGTGGCAAAGAATTGGAAATTGAGGGGATGCCCATCAATTGGTGAATGGCTGAACAAACTGTGGTATATGATTGTAATGGAATACTACTGTGCTATAAGAAATGACCAGCAGGATGGTTTCAGAAAAATCTGGGAAATCTTATATGAACACATGCAAAGTGAAGTGAGCAGAACCAGAAGAGCATGTACAGTAACAGCAATATTGTAAGGATAATCAACTGTGAAAGACTCAGCTATTGAGATCAAGAAAATGATCCAAGACATTTCCAAAGGACCCATGATTAAAAAAAAAAATGCTATCCACATTCAGAGAGAAAACTGATAAACTTTGAATGCAGATTGAGGTATTTTTTTTTAATTTTATTTTGTTTGTGTTTTCTTTTGTAACATGGTTAATATGGAAATATGTTTTGCATGACTTCACATGTATAATCAAGATCAAATTGTTTGCCTTCTCATGAAGGGGAAGAGGTGGGAAGGAAAGAACGTGGAACTTGATTTTTTAAAAAGAATTGTTTAAAAACCGTCTTACATGTAATTGGAAAATGTTAAATGAAATAAAAACAATTTTAAAATTATTTTAAAGTCAGTATACTAAGTCTTTTGGAATGATGTTTTTTGTTTTTAAATCTAGTGAGCTATTTGCCTTCTGAGGGTTTCTCTGAAAAAAAATAACCCACTTCCTCCAACTTCTAGCAGAGTCACAAAGAGGTTTATTTAAACATCATTTAAATTTAAATGAAAAGCAAGATCAATATTTAAAGAGTAGGGTTTTTTAAATCATTAGAGAGAATGTAAATATATATATAAAGACTATCTTTATGAGATCTACTATACATTACCACATTATAAATCATGTTAAATTATGAAATAGCTTGCCTCCTCCCTTTCCTCCAAAAAGGATCAAGTCTGTGAAACAGAGGTGGATATGAAAATCATGTGCTTATTTATATACATTTTTTTTTTCTGGAAAGCCTCTCAAAAGTTTGTAAAAATGGTTCTCATAACTTATTTTTAGAAAAAATTAAAGGAAGTTGTAAACATAACAAAGGTAACTTTTAGGGAAAGTTATTTAATTTTGGATGAATGCTACCCATTGAGTTTCTTTAACATCTACTGGGAATAAAGGAAGCCACTGTGTGGAGTGCGCCAAATTCTACAATAAAAATAAGCTTTTAAAAGTCGTGTATGTGTGTGTGTGTTCTCTGCTATGGTGAGATTATGGATTAAGAATTTTGATTAGGATCTAGCCTAAATATCTATGGTTCTGAGAAAAATATATTATACTCAAAATCAAGTTGCATACCTTGGCATCCCAGTCTTTATTAAGATAATATATACATGTGACACATCTTCCATCTCCATTTGGATTATCAACATGTCGCACATAACCTGTTCCATTGCCTGGATAACAAGCAACCATAGCCTATGGGGGAAGAAAAAAAAATCAATGTATGATTAAAGGGAGAGACGTCAGTCAACCTTTAAAATGGAGTTTCTCAAATGTGGCTATTATGGACTATTTCTAAATTTCTCTCTCTAATCACCACTATATTTCAGAAATACACAAACCTCCTATAATCTGAAGTAATTTTGTCCAATATTTGGAAAAACACAAATGCCACAACGGATTAGAGCCATACTCCATTCAGATTCAGTATTCTGACAAAGTGGAACCAAGGGAGATTTTGTAAGAGGGCAGAGTAGTTGCCTTTCATAATGTCAAACATTAACTCATTCAACTCAAATGATATTTGAAGAAGGATCACTTGTGTTTAAATATATTTTTAAAACTTGCACAATAATTAAATAAAATAATAGCAAAGCACACAGCAATAAAATGGGAAATAAAATATCAAATGTTACTGATAAAAACTTACTATCTAAAGAAAGAATATAAAGAATTGACATAAACATGTAAGAGTCATACCCAGATTACATTTGATAAATGGACAAAGCAAAGAAACAAACAGTTTAAATACAAGAAAATGTAGACAGTACATCAGATGGAAAATATATAGCCTCAGTTAACAATTAAAGAAATGTAAATTAAAATCATTTCAAGGTATACCTATGTACTGTTGATGGCTCTATAACTCTGTTCACTTTTTCTAGAGAGCAATCTAGTGATATGTAATGAACTATAAAACCATTTCTACCTTGACTCGGTAATTCCATTTTGGGGTCTATACCTGGGAAATAACTAGAAAGGGGAAAAAAGGCAACTCGTAGGAAACATTCATAGAGTGCTACTTTTAACAGCAAAAAACTGGAAACAAGCCAAATGCCCCAAAACCGAGGACTAACTTGGCAATAAAGTAATATAATATAATATTATAAAAGCATTTTTCAAAAACTAATTTACTCACAGAACATTCCTCAGTTGTGAAATATTCTAGTCTCTGGAAGAGGGAACAAAGGACCTTCTGGGGGGCAAAATTGAAGAAATTAAGGCTATTTTCATACCCCAAACTGTCACTTGTAATGTATCTGGCATATATACAACTTTACATTTAACATTAAAGGAAATGTTATCTTAATCAGTATTTAATCAACATCATGCAAAACACAATTCAGGGAAATGCCATTTTATAATTGTTCAAAAAAACTGGAAACTATATATTATCAATGACACATGGAAATATGCATAAAATAAATTCATTCATTTCAACCTAAGTATTATGTGGAAATGCTAAGGAGGATGTAGAGATGAATTAAGATGTAATATTTTAATGTTGTATGTTTTATTCGTTTTCCACCCACTTATTACTCTACTTCGGTCATCTTCTCCTCCATAACCTGGTTTCATCTTTTCCTATCTTCCCTGTTTCCATTAAATTATATGACAGGTACCTTAAGAGTACTACAAATAGTACTTGAAAACATCAGAGGAGAAAGGAGATTGCTCCCTTGCAGCCTGAAACAAGAGTGAAATGAAAGATTTCACGGGGTAGAGATGGCAATTAGGAGGGGACAAAAAAGGAAAAATATGAAAAGGCACAGCGAGTATGTGGTGTGTCTGGGGAACAGTAAATAGTCTAGTTTAGCTATAGCATAAAATATATAAAAGGGAGGAGTACGAAATAAGGCTGTAAGATAAGTTAGCTAAGGAAAGGCCTCAGATGTAAAGCTAAGGAGTCAAAACTTTAGTACTGACAATGAAGGGACAACGAAGGCTTGTTTGATTGTTTTTTGGTTTGTTTAAACAGAGAGTGGATGTAGTTCAGAACAATGTTTTGGGAAACTAAATTTGATATTAGCATACAGGACAGACAAAAAGCTGATGGAGACTAGAGGCAGAGGTAGCAATAATCCTACAAAAGGTAACGAAGGGCTGGACTAGAACAGTTGAGTGTCAGTGAGAACAGAAAGGAGGAGAAAGATGTGAAAGTTTCTGAAGGCAAAACTGATGGGGAACACCGAGTTTGTTTTAAGATATGTTGAGGTGGAGGGGCTGGTGAGTGAGTCAAAAAATAATTAGGGAATTGACTTACAATTTCACTGGTGTAGGGACTCTTAGTGAGGAACTTCCTTTACAATGCAGTTCAGTACTTTTTCTGCATAGTTTTAGGCTTTCATAGAGCACTAGGGGTTAAATGACTTGCCCAGAGTCACACAGACAATATTAAATGCAGAATTTGATACCAGGTATTCCAGGCTTCAAAGCTGGCCAGCCACTACTACTCCACACTGCATAGATCAAATGCATTAATACAAATTATAATTCTACGCAAGGATATAAATCATTATTCTTAAAAAAAGAAAAAAAGATGGCTGAAGTTACCTTCATCCTCCCATCTACCCACATTTGGTCTTGTGCCAAGGGTGAGGAACCTGTGGCCTTGAGGCCACTTGTGGCCTTCGAGGTCCTTGAGTGCAATCTTTTGACTGAGTCTAAGATTTACAGAACAAATCACTTGGATTCAGTCAAAGGGCTGTACTTGAGGACCTAGAGGGCCACTTACAGCCTAGAGGCCCCAGGTTCCCCACCCCTGGTCTTATCTCCGACTCACTCCTCTCCCTAACTCCCACTCCTCATTTATCCAATCAATTGAGAAGTTTGGCTGGCTCTACCTCTGCAAAACTTACCTTCACACCCTTTCTACCCACTCAGACTACCACCACCCTCTCATCATTTTCCTAGACTTTTGCAACAGCTTTATTTTAAGAGGTCGCCCCACGTCTAAAGTAAAAGTTCTAACCCTTTTTGTATCATGGACCCCCGTTTAGCAATCTAGTGAAACCTATGGACTCCTCAGCATAATGTTTTTTAAATACACAAAATAAAATACACAGGATTACAAAGGAAATAAATTATGTTGAAATACAGTTAAAAATATATATTATATATATATATATTTAAAAGTTCACAAACTTGTTCTTAACAAGGTTAAGAACCTCTGATGTAGAGATGCTCTCTATATTTTTTCCTTCACTTCACTTTCAAGGTTATCTCCCCAAAGTACAAATCTGCACATTAATAGTCCCCTGCCCCAAATCTTCTAGTGGCTACCAATTTACCTCTAGGATAAATTACAAACTCAGTCTGGCATTTAAGCTACTGCATAATCAAGCTTCAAAATTATTTTCCTTTCCAAAAATTTCATATTAATCAATTAAAAAACATTTATAAAGTACCTACTACATGCCAGGCCCTGAGCTAGGCACCAATGATACAAAGACAAACTTCAAACAATTCCTCTTCTTACAGAGTATTCATTTTATGGGAGGAGAGAGTATGACCATATATAGACAGACGGACAAAATAAATACAAGGCTATTTTCTGGTGGGAAGGCATTAGCAGCTCAGGGACAGGGGAAATCAGCAAAAGCCTCACGTGGACAATCCCCTTCATTAAAAACAACAACGAAACCAAAAACAAACCTACAACTCTGTAAAGCCTAAGTGCTACTAATGTTACCACCCTGAAACTCAATATGCCATGCTCTATGCATCCATCAGGCTGTCACTCATGCCTGAAATGTTCTCCAGTCAATTTTTCACATTCAAGGCTTAATAGGGGGCACGTGCCCCCTTCTTGTGTGTAGTCTTCGTTGATCTCCCAAGCTTAAAAGGACTTGATTTTTTCCCATCAAATATTCCTAGAGTATGTTGAGCTTTTCTATGTCTCCCTTCAGTCTCTACCTAATTTTGTTTACCTGAGTACATACTGTATCTGGTCAGAAGAATGAGTTCTAAGAACAGAGTCTGATTTATTTTTTTATTTTGTATCCAGAATACCCTGCACATTGCAAATGCTTTACAAATGTTTGTTGAAAGGCAGGAATTCTCTTTATTATCATATTAATCTGAAAAGGGCCTCCTGTAAGGCAAGGAATTGCCTCAAGATCCAATTCTTGCCTCTAAGAATACTTCGTAATACAGAAGTCCAAAAGCCTAATCATCAAAATTAAAATGTTTTTCAGAACTGGTATTTTGTGCTACTTCACAAGAAATACTTTTAGGAATTCTGCATTTATGATCAAGCAGCAAAGGCTTTTCCAAGTGCACAATTAGCTGGAATGTTGGTTTCCTGTTAACCAAGAGAACCAGCCAGGTCCATAAGCAGCCTATAAAAGATTGCTAATACATTATTATTTAACTTTAATCAATGATAAAAGATATCATGTGAAAACATTCATGGTAAGTTATAGATGACAACTAGAGAGGCAGCATTGTCAATAGCTTTCTACTTATCCTATCTATCTGCTGAACCTGCTTTTATGCCTACTGGGCATAAAAACTAACTCAATCATAAAAGTAGCTCCTATCTACGTGGTGCTTTAAGGCTGACAAACACAACAGCTCTAATATCTAAAACAAGGAAGCTGAGTAACATTCTCACACCACTTGGTCCTAAACAGACCATATCTCAAGTGGTGAATTAATGAGAAGAGAAGCCTGGGACATGAAGGGTTTGGAAACCATGTTAGATGAGGAATAGTTAAAAGAACTGAGTATATTTAGGTTGGAAGAAAAATTACCAGTCTACTCAAATATGTGGAGGGGCTAAACATGGAGGAGAAAGTAACATGGTTCAGAAGCCAGAACTAGGATCAATGGATATAATATGTTAGAAGGCAATAGTTTTTGGAAGGACTGGACTTAGCAAGGAAGAATTTCCTCACAACTAGAGCTGACAAAAAATGAAATGGATTCACTCATGAAAGAGTGAAGACACAGGATTATAGACTCTTGTAATTCATATATGTAAACTTAATGAGGCAAGAAGAGGTTAAGAAGAGATAGGATTCAAAACTAGATTATCAGACTTTCGAATCCACTGCATTTTCCACCGTGCCTCAACAGCCACTAGGGATCAATGCTACTGAATATCAATCTGGCAGGGATGCTACAGAAATGATTCCTGCACTGGATGGTCTGGACTAGAAGCCTTCTAGTGTCCTAATTCAACTAAGAGTCTA